ATTGTTTAAACAAAAAACAATTCAAATTAATAATGCTGTTTAATAACATAAAATGAGTTTTTTTTCAAACGTTATTGGTATAAATTTGTTGTGTAAATTCACGGGTCTGTGATAATCAGATATAAGGATCGCGTGACGAACAGCACGGAAAAATTGCTGCGGATCGAAGAAATACGGCAGATTAGTTTAGCTTTAGTTTGGGAATGGATGGCCTGAACAAATCAACGGTTAGGCTGAGAACAAAAATCTTCTCTGGGTTTTATTCGACGTTGGCCTATGTTGGCCCTGTGGGTACGCGTCCCATTAAATCGTTATAGTCCACCCATAAGGTACTTGGCAGTCGCGCACTAAACCGGGATGTGCGCCCACCATAAAACAGACCATTTATCCTTTAAAGCGTTGTTTTTCGGGCAACCGTGTAGATAATAGTAGTAATAATAGTAATAATAATCATAAAAACGTACGACTAGGAAACACGTCCTTACGCGCCCGCCCAGACGGACTCGTCGGTCGAATCGCTGTTGCCTTGATCACTAATTTCATACCCAAAGCTTATCAAAAGTCCGGCAAGCTAACAAGGTCTTTACACTGGAGTATACATCATGATATATGTATATTCTTGTACGGGAAACTCTTATTTTCTTCATTCTTTGTTTGCGGTTTTCGGTAGATGAACTCAAACCGTACTTTCGGCCTCTTTGGAAAGTCGTTATCGCGATACACGTGATCCGCCGAGGTTCACCGGGTTAAGTCCGTTTGTATAACCTCGGGATTATTTATTTAATTGGCAAACGCGCGAACACCATCATCGCGTCGGGTCGAAGAGAACACGCGCCCATAACAATATAGCTCATCGTCATCGCCAGATAGTTTTGCAATTTCCTGAAGATGTCAGTCGGCCGCCTTCGAGGAGATACACGGGGGTGCGAGGTTCGGTCGAATAAATGGAAAAATGATTAATATCAGATGTAATGTACTAGTATACCGGTATACTTTGTCGATAACTCTTCTACTGCGTTTGACAGTCGTTTATATTGAACGACCTCCTCCTGACCGCAAAATTTATTTTTAAGATTATCAGGTAAAACTTTTTGATCCGACGGGATTCGTCTCGGACAAATGGGTAAGCCGACCGCCGCCCGTTTTATGGAGAACGATTCCGGAGATAGTGTAGCAATAAAAATAAACCGTCTGCCACATTGAATATCCTCGTCCAGTACAGTATATAGGTATGGTCGTAACGGCCACTGCGATATTATGTGCATGTACATAGTTATGCATAATATTACCGTGTCAGGGCGACGGTATTACCGCCGTTCAGCGATAATATCCTCGGCTCCGGCACAATTTATCGCCCGGTGTTAGGTCCCGATTTATTTTTCTGTATAAAGTTATTATACGTGGTGTATACTTACATGCATTTTTATAAACCTATTCAAATCATCCTTTTCGTTGTCGTAAACTGCCATGCGTCCCTAGGGGCAAAAACCCTGTCGACTAAACGAAGAATGTGGAAAAAATTCCGTTCTCCCGCAATAACGAGCGCGGTAGATATATATACATATGTACTTTTTCACATAACAAACATACACATATGTTTTACATAAGTAAACAACGTAGCTGAATTTAACTACCTCAATTTATTGACGGAATATTGTGGTTTGTATAACAAGACAACAACCCTTCACAAACAAATCAGCCAATCATCCTCGGTACAATTCGTTGCAATGGCCAACGCCCCCTCCTCCACAAGTCCTAACCTTAAGGGCATTCTTAACAACGACAGTACTTAGTTATTGTTCAAATCTAATAATAATTGTAGATAATATAGAAACAATATTTTTAAAAACAACACCGAAGCTAAAAAAAAAAAACATTAAGAAAACTGTCCCATAGGGCAAAATATTATATAGGTTGATTGTAATATATTACGAAATCAATTTTTCAAGTGTTTTACATTTATCGACATTTTTTGAAAATAATTAGATGATGGCTTTTTTTTAAGATTTCCAAAATAACTATTAATTATTATATCACATTAGTTCTTGCAATGATTATTTTTATAGTAATAAGATGTATAAAATGTAATGTACTGCTTTGAAAATCAGTAACTATTATTCAATTGTTTAATATAATTTATACAAATCTATTTTGCAGATAATACCTATTGTGTGCATGGTTTTATCGAAATTACTATTTAATATAATATTTCCTGTTTATTTTACAGTATTCGTTTTACCTACCTATTGTTTGATTAAAAATTAATTAAGGCAATCTCTGCACAAAAAATCTACAAGGCAAACATATTTTCGATTTGGCTGCGTGTAATGGAATATGGATTAACCCGGTTAATTAAATAATTGAACGCTATCGAATATTATAGTATAACAAAACGGCGGTGTTATGCAAATCTAATATTTATATTTGTGCATTTTGTCAATAATTTTATAATGGTTGGGTGGGTCGAAGAGAAATTCGCGTTTTAAAATGATTGAACGTTTACAGATAAGGCAGAAAGGCTCGTTTAATTTGTAACTTAAACCCCTTTAGTTTCTTCCCCCCTTTTAATTATGAAACCACAAGAGGGAAATCAATTATTTTACATCGTTTCGGCATTCCATAGCGTAATTGAACTTATAGCATAGATACGGCACGTTCTACACCCCAAGGTAGAACATTAATTGATTTTATATCTTCACAAAATTACATCATATAGCAAAATTATCCAAGCACGATCATGTAAGAAATCCATTTCGAACACAAATTTTATTATACTTATATTAACCTTGTGGCGTCGGATTTATCTTTTAACTATACCTAAAAACAATGTCGACCGCAAGTTTGTTATTGTTTTCTGTTTAGCTTCTGGTGATTTTATAAATTATGCATTAATACAATTATGATGATCTTTCATCTATTGTATACAAATTAGTATTTGTCTTCTAAAACAATATATACAATAATAGTGTATATCGTGTTATATTTAAAAAAAAAACAAAAGTAAGGGCGAATATTGTATCTTATATAATATGTTATTACACATCACACAAATAATAATGTAAACTTGCGTTGATGATGAAAACAGAGTTATTTAAAAACGCTATTTTCTATATTTTATAGATTTTGGAGTTCAAAATTATATTAATTCAGAATTTCCAAATTTAAATACGTTATAGGTTTTTTTATTTATTATAATTTTTTTCTCTGTCGTTTTAAAGCTAAACGATACTATTATTTTATATTAATCGAATAGATATTATGATTATCCGGTCGTTTTCTTATTAAAATTAAACGATGACTAAATGTCGACGGGTTTTCATAAGTCGCACGTGGGTATAAGTTCATTTTTTTTTTTAATGGTAAAACGATTAATTTAAAGGCGAGGAAAGGCTGTGCGAGACAGCCGAGGCAAACAAATTTAAATAAATGACCGTTAATATTTGGACCGCGAATGCACATTTTCATGAAAACATTTTGGCGGCATATGTCCCTAACAAAAAAATACCTCAACACGCGTAGTCAACGTTAAAAAATAAAAATTGAATAAATACAATCGTAAAGGGGGAAATGATTAAATCGTAATTTATTCAAATGCAATTCAATTGTAAACCGAAACAATTCGATGATGTAATTTTGGTCGAATCCCCAAAGGCAACGCGGTTTGAGTAAATAGCGCCGGTCCGCAATCAGAATCAAACAAACCTTGCCTTAAACCGTGTATACTTACTATTTATATATTCATACACATTTTGGTTAGGTTTTGTTTTGACACCGATTAAAATCGTACAACCATTTGGGTAATCGCTTTTTGATTTACATTCAGACTTAATTATAGAGTTAATGTTACTTCCTATATGTATACAATATGTATAGTTTATAGAGATTTGTGATTTATTGTTGGCTATACGACCTTTTCAGTTTAATATTACAGAACGCACTTGATAATATGGATATTTTAAAACAACAACAAAATCAATATTACAGTTAATTTTTATATTCTGTAATATGTATGAGTAAGGATTCTGTGTGGGGAGTGTTAGGATGAACATGTAATTATTTATGCTTATAGATCGGACGTTTGAAGAAATAATATTAATTTGACAATTTGTTAACAGAAGCTGTTATATTTTCGTTTATAATAATTACAAATTTAGGTCAAAATCTTATTTTTTGAATAACAAATGATATATTTATTTTTTTAATTATCCGACCGATTTTCTCAGTATATTATTTTACAAACCACAACTTGGGATTTTTTTTTTTATAAATCAATATACAACGATAGGAAATATTATATAGTAAGTATTATTTGTTAAGATTTCATTAAATATTCGGTTGTTGGTAGTTTGTATAACTTGTAACAGTGTACAGTGTATAACAGTGTACTCAACCTTTTCATGCGATCGTTGTTGCGTTGTGGTAATTTGCTTATGGCAACATATTGTAGGATTAATGCAAATTCTCCAACTCTGTCTGACTTTAATTAATGTACGGCAATTTTAACGCCTAAAATATTATATAATTAAACAGTGTTGGATAATGCGAGACAATGGGACAACATATTGGCCAGGATTAACCGGGAATTAAAATAAAACCATTCGCTCAATCTGTCTCGCTCCTTATAATATATCTTTTTCTCGATTCTGCGCGTGTATAAGAAAAGGGTAATTTATTTTCAGCGGGCCCAATTAGTCCGGTTGTCATACATGTGTGTGTGCTATTTGCTCTTTTCCAGTTGTCATTTCGTTACTACAAAAACCAGACGAAGCTCTCTAACGTATGGTAAATGTTCCATAATACTTGCTTGGCCTTTAGTCGAACTGTTAGTTTTTATTAATACGGATGTGATATACAGAGATCACTAACTCCATCTTCCGGTCAAATACGACCGAGGATGAAGCAGTCGCCCCCTCTGTTCAACAGATTTATTTTTGTCGCTTATTCAGAGATATTTTATAAAGAAAAAAATTAATGTGCTAATCGTTTTTTTTTTTTTACAGCTGTCCGAATTGGAGAAGCGGGTTCTGGAAGCAGAGACCAGAGCTGTGGAAGCTGAAGGAAAGGTGAGATATATAATGTATACCTATATATATATATATGTATGTATATTTGAAGGGCTGTAGAGAAAAACGATAGTCCAATTTTCAAATTTTAATTTTACGAAAAAAAATTTTATTTTAATTTTATAAAGAAAGAACAATAATATGTGTATTATATTGGTGTTCTCTTAACTCTTATAACTGAGTTTTTTTAGTTTTGAAACATTAAAATTGCAACACTGAAAATTTGGAAATATTGACTTGAGTCGTTTTCCCCGCAGCCCTTAATTTAGTTTGAGATAAATGTATTTATTAAAAAGTATTTTATTTTAATGTATATATGCATATTAAAATATTTCTTTCATATTTGTATGCAAGAACTTATTTTGTTTCACTTGTTTCTTACTTCGCATTAAACTTCTACTTCTGCTGTATGTAAATATAGTTGGAAGCAAGAAAACTTTTGACGGTTAAGTGTACGTTTATTTAAGAATAGCGTGGTTTAACTGCAATAGTTTCCACACAAACGTTTTGCAGAACATAAAAGTTAAATAAACAATTCATATATATATAATAAAGCACTTTACTAATATATTATATTTTGAATACCAAAAATATGTTCACAACAAGCGTTCTTTACATGTATACAAGTATATGCGTTTTGATGATGATCGTTGGTTGATATATTGTTTATATTGAAATTCTAAACACAGCGTCTGATTCATAATATGAAAACCACATGTCCTCTATAAATATATCTATTAGAAGCTAGTGGGGATTAGGGATAAAGATTTTATTAAAACTACTATATGGAAAAAAAACGGCAACCGAATCATTGTATTATTATAGTTTAGCATAGAACAAAGAAAATAGAAGGTTTTAATATGTAAAACTATATTAAATTTATTATATATCTATTCTGAGAGAGGAAGAAAAGGAGAAACGTATAAATCATTGGGTAATGTTCTCCGAATAAAAAACCTGCTATTTGCGTTTCCATTTCATTAAAATACAGATGGCTATTTAATCCAAAAAAAATTTGCTTCGTTCGCGTTACGCATAACGGTTATGAAACTTAAACCCACTTCCCATAGAGTAAAGTTTAATAGTGAAACCGAAAACGTGCTTTGAATCTCACTAGTCGACGTTTTAAGTGAAATAGAACCGCTCGTATTTGTGCTTAATCGGTTTTCTAATATTTGTAATTATTGAAATTGTTTTTTTATGGAAATCTAAAAACTTGCTCTTGGCCAGTAACTAACTATATAGAATTAATGTTTATTCCTTTTACAACGTGTTTGTGTAATTAATAACTATGATTCAGTTTCTAGGCTAAAATTATGTAAATTTTTCAATAATTTAAATAAAATATCCTCTTATTAAACTTCAAATGTTGTAGCTTGAGTAATAATAATTTCAAAATTATCACCTGCCTGTCCTGTCCACCTAACCTAACTATAATTATATATTTAACATTATTATTAACATATATTATTATTATATATTATATTATTTATAATCAATGATAATATTATCTTAATATTTTATCATGTAATATCAATTAACACTAAAAGTGTTTACATTAAAAGTTCACTTTTGGAATACAATTCTCAATAACGGCATACGACTTAGGAAATGATAAGATACCGTTTACTGATGTCCAGAATTATCCAACTCATAGAGAGTACCATTAGAAATATTGTATATTTTAATAAACCAATTTATTGATTTATACATTTTGAATCGAAGATAACTTATATTTTAATGGAACATGTTAAATCTTAATGTTAAGTACCTTGATTTTTTTTTTTTATAACTTTAATACGGTCAACGTTAAACCTTGAAAATGTCATTCTATTTGGTTGCACTAATTACTGCGTTCGTTATATTATATTGTATTGTCTATATTTTCGTAAACCCTCAAGACTTGTGGGACCGTACACTGTTTATATTTTTAATCAGTATGTTATTTTTTTGTTACCCATTTGGTATTTTTTTGGCTCGACGGTATTCAATTAGAGAATAGCCGCATGGTGCAAACATATCGGATTTGGGTTATTAGGGCGATTTTTTAGGTATACATTCACCTTAACATATTATAGTAATTTACGCTTATAGACAAAAATATACATAACGATATGACCTAGATTCTCGTACTTAAGAAAACAGAGTTTATTTTTAGCAATTTTTAAAAAAGCCTTTTTTTTATTAGGAGGATTACCAGATATTTTTACATGATTTGTTCTTATGTGCTTGTTTTGATTATATACGTCTGCTACTAACAATAATTATTAATTATTGTCCAACCGAAATTATCGTTTTTTATAACGCGTACTCATTTAAAACGTTGGACAAGTGCCATGACACGATGTTTGTTTTTCTTGTAAAACCCATTATGATCTTCGTTACTACTTTATAATTATAATAATTATTTATTTGGTCCGGTTAATAGGATGTTATGTCTGAGAACAAATCGTGTGTGTACAAATTTGATACATTAAAATAAAATTAATAGATCTCGATTATTATCTAGACCATTAACGACACTTTGCCGTCCTATGATAGTAAAACAAACATATTGTTTTGTCGAGTCATTGCAATTGTTTTTCCAATGTCATGTTTGTCGTACTAACAATATAGATTTTTTGTATATTATTATATATAAAGAAGAATAGTCCAGATTAAATTGGCTTCGATCTGTGAATCATGTTTTTCAAGTCAATTATTTTCTTGTTATTGTTTTAAAGTGGAAAAGCAACAATATGTCACTTAATGATTTTTGTTTTGTTTTTAACTGACATTTACATATTATGATATATTTTATTTAATCGATGGTTACACAGGGAGGTTAGTGTTTACCATTTTTCTGATTTTTTTAATATCAAATAAACAGAGAACGGGCATATTAATTAAAATTAACTTTGGTAGATAGTTATAAATTTTATTCGACATTTGTCCGGCTTATAAAACTGTCAATATACTATTTTGTATTATAATTATATTGTTTTTGAGTTTGTTGTTGTGATTACCTAGTAGTGTTGTATATAGTAAACAAGTGCTATCTATAATGTGTTACCCAAGGTCGAATGGTGAGCAGAAGATGTAAGGCTTCTTATTAAAGACCGACTTTATAAAATATTATGACGTCTATAAGATATTAAAATTCCTCTAAACCTTGCGCGATATTACTTTTTCCAGCTGCAATATATATGAATGGGGGTACATGGGGGTATATATTTGCTTGTAATATTTTTAGCAAACACAACTAAAAACCCGGATGAAATATGCAAAATCCTCGGCTAAAGAAATATATTATATATAAAAACACTTTAGCACAATGTGGGCGTTTTTTACCTTATATACCGTTGGCAATATTATACGGGCTACCGTGTGCAGCATATACGGCGGAAACGCAAAAAGTAATAGTGCAACTGACCGTTATCCCCTCGGGTACACGTTCTCTGTAATTACAATTTTATGACATTTCACATTGATTAGCATTGATCGCATTACTCGCCCATACGCCATGCCAGTGACTTCCTAGCACTGGACAGTAATCCAATTTGAAAAACGCAATATCGCCCGGAGATTACATACAGAACAAATTATTATTTAGTTGTTTTTTCCGCCCATAACCCTTTAAAATCGCCACCGGGTTATGTTGTTTATTTGGTAGTTTCGCTGTACACAGCATTTACCAATATTATGTAGCGTTGGATTCATCTTGAATAAGACTACCAACATGGGAGAGACCAAAACTGTAAGTGCAATGCAATAGTCTTTATCGATTAATTGCAAAACAGTGTATAGAAAAGGAAAAGGGATAAAATAATAACGGGATAAACTCAAAAGTATTTACTGGCTCGTAGTTGCATGTGAATTACCTTCAGGCCCGGAAATTTAAACGCAAAGTTTATAAAGCAGTAAAATATAACCTGAATTTGTATAATACTGTTGGTAGCTCGCCGCACCGTCGTTGCAGGCTTTTAAAGTTTATATGAAATATTATTACAATTTGCATACGTCTCGTTGTTGTATGCTAAATAACACTAAGGAACTTTTTGCCGCGTTTTCAATGAGCTAAATATATAGTCTATATTGGAGCTTGAATATAATTTATTTTTTAATAAAATTAATTTAGAAACTATGTAAAAATAATTTTGACAGTTTCATGTTTAGAATTATTACAGATTTTGAAATTATTAATTTGTATAAGTTGGTTTTGATGTATTTTTCTACCCAAGCTTATTGTACTTTTCTGCGACAACGGTTTTTTAAAACATTTTGTATGTTCTATGAAGATTTCTTTCACCCCCTCGAGATAAAACGTATAGTTTAAAAGAAGTCCATTCAAAAATGTTTAATGATCTATATCATATACTTTAGTTATCTATAAATTAACATCACTCGCTATATAATCATTAGATATTTAGTATATCAGGTTGTTTTTTATGTAGAAAAATGAGCATTCATAATAATATGTTGAATACTAGAATGTATACATATACTATATACATATATTTTTTTCAAACAAATTAGTTAACGGATTAGTGTGTCGTGGTCAACTATTAACCGTGCGTTACACTAACAATTCTGGTGAAACCTAAAACCAAACTAAGGTAGACTTTCGTTTTTACAATCCCATTTGCCCTTATATTCTAGTGAGCGAATAAGCATTGTCGGATATCCATTTGTTAACAATCAGTCAAATTTTAGGATGCACGCAGACATACATATCCCAACGGACTTTTATTTATTAACATAGTACATCTCATTTATACTTTAAAAGAAGCTATGCGCTTAAATAGTAGTTTGATTCACATTATGTTATTTATTATATCTTATTTTGAAGGAAATTGTGTAGTAATAAAGTATAAGCTCTCTAAAAAAACGGTGGTTACGGTTCTTTCAATTACCCTAAGTATAATACCCCGAAATCCAAAAGCTCGCCTCTTCTTCGGGTGGGTAAATATAAAACTAAAGCTACTTAGGCGCTGGATGTTTGCAATTAGGGTGTCGTCTTGGCCATAGTTTTCTCCTCTCTCGGTCTCATTATATTTTACACTGCCCAAAGGAGCGAATTATATTCTCCGACAGAGGCTTTCCTCTTGTTTTTGTGTACAGGGTGACGCAATAATTTACAATATTTACGCATCGCCAACTATAGAAGCCGTTGCCACGGTAACAGCGAATTGTTATTTTTAAATTAAAATTATTTTTATAGACTACAGTCTACTCCGCGTTTAAGTAGGCTGCAATAACAACGGTCACGTTGATATCAAATATTATTTCTTAACTATCCCAATAATACTTAGTACCCAAATTGTTTGAAATATTAATTTTTTTAACCTACTGATGTGTTCAGAACTAAAGCGATAAAAGTGATATTTTTATTGAATTTCATTTTGTCATAGAGTTATATTTTAAAACTGCAAACAACCAACTAAAAAACTAACAAATAATAAAATATTAATTATCGAAGGTGATTTTTTTAAAAGTAGTTCACTCATTATTTCATAGTAACTGATTTTTGACTGGTCGATAATGAGTCATTACTTTTAAAGTTATTAGAACTAAAAAGTTAGAACAGAGTGGAGGAAAGGTAAGTACGGTGAATAATGCGCGCAGATAAATTTAATAGGTACTACACTCATAATTGAAATATACAAGGTTATTGCACATATACCTTCTTTGTCATATATTCAATGATAAAAACAAATATGCCAGCCTAACGGAAGCCAAAATCGAGTAAATAGTAATAGTAAGATTGATATGCCGTTTTATTTCTGGAGATAACCATTCGAGACGACGTGCAATAACCTGTGTATTTTAACCATGACTACACTACACGTTGTATAAAAACACTAAGAAAAAAAATTAAATTACTAATGAAACCAAATGAAATATTGAGTGGATCACTTAAAAAAAATTCTTTGCATATCGTCGCGCTCGTGTAAAAAGTGATAAAGTAATTTTTTTGTAGTTTAAAGCAGTATTGTTTTTAAAATTTAGAACTATTTTGCAAATAAAACTATAACCCGTCTTGTTAATATAATTATAGTCAGCGTTTACTTGAAATATTATCGACATTAAATTTAAGTTAGTCAAAGTTAATTTGTTGATAATTCCAAAACTATTGTTATTTCCATAATAGTTTTTGTAGATTTTTTTATTTATTATTCAAGTTAAAATGAGTCGTTATTGATCATTTTTCACTTAGTAATTTTTAACACTCCATTAATTTTTCTACACGATGGTGCGATTTATAATTACTTCAAAAAACGCATTAAAAATATTAATATTTTCTTGCTCTCTAGTAAAATTATTTTTACAAAAGCTCTATGGACCCTAATGATTTCTCGTAAGTTTTCAATAGTGAAAAAAATATTAGATCTTTACTGCGTTAACTTGTGAATCGAATGGACTTGAAATGCACATCTCGGTTAATTATTATTATTTGTAGTTAGTGACGGTGTTCTGCACATGTATATGCGGCGACATCTACACTAGCTGATCAGAACTATTCCACCAGTGGTTTTTTTTCAAATTCGGTATAAATGTATAAATATGCAATGTAACGATTAGAACGAATAAAAAATTTGTTATTTTGTTTATAATCAGCCGCGTCGTCCACGTGTAAAAAATAATTTATATGTAGTACACGTGCAACGCTTCAGCTGTAGTAACAATAATTGTGTGCTAAATAATATTATGATGTGCATATGGTTGTGGCATAGACGGCGCGCGTGTTGCCGTTAGCAACGTGGTGCCGAAGGGGGCATTGATTTTTTAATTCCCTTCATCCCTCCGACCACTTTCCACCCCTTCTGGACAGCCGTCACATGTTACGGACCAAGCCACCACGTTCATACGATTCACTAAGGGGCAAACATCTATCGTTTAGTGCTGGTTTTATATTTTTACATCTATTTATTTTTTTATACCGTTGTTTTATATTAATATAATTTTTAATGGTGCAGAAAACGGGCGAGTACTTTGCTTTATTCTATACGATTATTATTTTAATTATCGCCATGTTGTAGTAATAAATAAAAACCATCACGTGGACAACTATATTAAGGTAGGATTAAAAAACAGGATAAAAAAAACGTATCTAGCTAAAAGTATTAACCGTAAGATAGTGTGCATGAAATTTCAAGAAAAGCGTTTCGCGGGAAAACATCATCTATTTTGAAATGTTTACATACGTTTTTTTTTGCTAATTTAGTTCATTATTGTTTTCTTGTCGTTTAACTAGAAAAAAAAGTTGTGAGTAATTTGTAGGGCGCAAAAAGTTTTACTTATTCAATTTTGAATAATAATATAATATATTTAATAAAAACATTTTGGCGTGAGTGTCTAAATTTCCCTTGGGTACACTCATTGATGTAATTGTTGCAAACATAATATATTACTGTACTAAAACGAACAAGTTGTGTTTGCTTATTACGTAATGGCGATAAAAGCTTTGCCACTATATTATGTTGTCAATTTTTTTTTCATTTAATTTTATAATAGGCCAACGTTTTACGGCGTGATATTAAGTACACAACTATTGTGTGTACTATTAAAGTAAAAGATTTAAAAAAATATATTAACATAACAGTATTTTGTTTGCTGATATTGTGATGTGTTGTGGTGTTTTTATCAAAAAAATCACGGGCCATGTTAAAAACGCTTGTGAGCTGATGTACGCAAATCGATAAATGGAAATTTATGCGAGGGGTGCATGACCCTGATCCATTGCCAGTGCCTATTGTACTGACCTGGTTAGGGTGGTTGTTTCTTTTGAAGTGTAGTGTAGTGTAGCAGCCGGGAGGTGGAGGGACACGGGCAGACAGTCGGGCTACTGTGTCACATAATGAGTCACAGCATGTCAGCCGGTCGCGTTCGTTTTCTTACGCACATATCAATAACACTGTAATATTAGGTATTTAAAAAAGTGACTTCATGTTGATGAGTCAATGAACCCCATGATAGGTAAACCGCTGTTGACACCAATTATTATTACAGTCGTGTGCATACTAAACTGTTGTTTACCTTAATGATATGTCGTTCGTGGTTTCAGATCCGTGTTATGGAAGAACGTCTCCAAGCTGAATGGAACACGCAATTGCCGGATCAAGCCGAAAAAGAGCAAGCCATCAGCAAGCTGGCCACCCAAGTGGAAGAACAGGTACGTCCGTTGTGTGAACGATGGACATAAAACAAAAATCAATTAATACCTTAACACGAGAAGACCCCTTACTAAAATAACATGCCGGTTCCTTTTTGCAGCGTCAGCTGAGACTTCAGGACGCCAAAATGGTAGAAGCCAAAGCGGCGCGCATCAAAGAATGGGTGACCAACAAATTGAGAGACTTGGAAGCTCAAAACCAGCATCTCCGCGAACAGAACCACAAGTGCAACCAACAGCTGGAGCTCTTGAGGCGGCACATGGCACAGTTGAGCGCCGACAAAATGGCTCAGTTAAGCACTGACAAAATGGCAGTTAGCGCTTGTGCTGGTACTTCTTCGCCGCGAACCAGTACGGCTTCGTTGCACAGGGCCAACAGCACGGGTTCCACACAGTAAGTGATTGGTGTTTCCCTCATATTGCAATAACTATGACTTGGGCCTTTTTTTTTTAACCATTCTTTTTTTTTTTTTTAGTGCCTTATCCGACAACGAACCGGTCTACGCCCAAGTGGACCGACATCAGAAAACTCGCACACCTGATCGGTCCCAACGTACACACCGTCGGCATATGTCTGCTTGTGTCCAAGCGCCCCCAGTCGTGTCGACCATAGACCCTGCAGTGTCGACTCACGAACAGTTAGCTAACGAATGTAGTACAGTGGCGGCCACGGAGGCGCTCAACCTTAATTCACTAAGACGTATGTAGTAACTTGTAATAATAAGTACAATAATGTCAAAAATGTCAGGCTCAAGAAGGTGTTTGGTGTTGTTTTAGCAAAATCAGTATGTGTCGAATCGGACATTGCCCACGACTATGCGGAGATCTACACGCCTAGTAGGGAGACGTTGCCTTGGGACAAAACCAATAAACCTCCGACGCCACCCTTGCACAGGTTTCCTTCCTGGGAATCTCGCATATATCAAGTGGCGAACGAAGGTTTATCCACTGCCCCCGCCGGCCATGTCGAACCTAATGTTAACCAAACCCGAGGAGTCAACTCTCAAGGATATTGCAATATAAGCGTACCAGTTTACGCTACTGTCAAAGGGGTAAGCAAGTGAATCATAAATTGTTATTATTTCTATTTTTTTTTAAATAAAAATAATTCATAATTATACTATTATATTTTTTTTTAATTTAAAGAGAGCCAGCCAAATTCGATCTAGTCCGTTTTCCGGCGATTCCTCTGATGATTCTAGTGATGGCGAAGGTGAACACATCAACACGCAAAACACACACAGTATGGCCACCCGGATCACAAACAGCAGTAGCACCGATAATACAGACACTTCCCTATCCAGTTCCAGTCCCAGTAAAAGCCACAAAACTGCCTCTACTTTCTCTCCTTTGAAACAAACTTCTTCAGGATCGCCTTCCAAAAGTATTTATTTATTTCGCTCTCAGTTGGTCGAACATTGTTAATAATACATTTGTACGATATAATAGATACATCAATGGAATCCGGTATATCAGACGATTATGCAATACCTCCTGACGCCATGTCGTGCGGTGGAGATTCAGCAGAATGGTCGTCGTTAGTGCTGAGATTAAATCTCAATGGCTCAGCTGTTGTTGCCGATAGTCCAAGCCGATGTGCTAAAACAGGGGTGCTCGACAAATCTGGTCATTTAGCCAAATTAGGTGGAAAACTGAAGACTTGGAGAAGAAGGTACTTTGTACTGAACAATGGCAAACTCCGTTATTGGAAAACCCAAGTGAGTTCATATAACAAAATTTTCATTGGGTTTTCCCTACAGATAGAATGAAAATATTTTAGAAATTGTAACTCGTCGGAGAATTATTTAGTGACCATTAGGTAATTTTGTTATTGTAGAGAATTTTTATATATTACATTCTTGTTACAGAATGATGTTTCTCGTAAACCTCAGCGAGAAATAACCATTGATGACCTATGCCGAATTACTAGACAAGATGGTGCAGCTACGTTTGAAATATCGACTAGCAAAAAGACTTTTTACCTCACTGCTGATTCAATTGCCGCCATGGAAGATTGGGTCAAAGTTTTACAAGTATACTCTGTCAGCAAATTTCTTTTGAATATTTTTGCTAATCATTGGGTTTGTTTTGTTTAGAACGTTCAAAGACACAATGCGACTAAGTTACTTTTAAATAATGAAAACAATAAACCAACGATTCAAGGCTGGCTTACCAAAGTTAGAAATGGTCATGCAAAACGATGTTGGTGTGTGCTTGTAGGGAAAACTTTCTTGTACTTCAAATCTTCTACGGATACTGTAAGATTTTTTTTGTTCAACATTATCACAATACTCTTTTTTTACAAGAGAGCAGAACTGGCAGATACCAAATCGCATTACTTTTACTTCTGTCTGTGCAAGTGCATGCTACTCGTATACTAATACGGTTTGGTTTCTGTGCAGTACTGGTCTCTCGTGAAAAAGAGAATAGTCTACAGGTGTTATTGATAAAATAATATTCCTATTACCGTTTTAGAGTGCTTTTGGTCAAATCAATATGCGAGATTGCCGTGTAGAGACCGTCGACCACGTTTCTGATTCGGATAGTGAAGAACGTGATGCTAACCAACCCCCGACCATAGCCCTACATCCATCACACCAAGGACCACCTACATATTTACTAATGTCTTCTAAACAAGAAAAAGATTCGTGGCTTTATCATCTCACTGTAGTTTCTGGAAGTGGAAATCAATCTGGAACCCAATTTGAACAAATTGTACAAAAGTTAATGGAAGCTTCAGGCGATCCAAGTAATTTTCAATTCAACAGGCTGCATGTCCTATATAAACAATATTCTTGCGTTATTTTTATTTTTATAAATTTTTTTAAAGACTGCGTAGTGTGGAAGCATCCAATTCTATTACACTCCAAAGAAGCTATAAGTAATCCGCTGACTACTTTATCTGCCGAATCGTTACAATATGAAGCGATTAAATTATTTAAAGTAAGATCAATACAATACAGAAACTGTATTCAGAATTCTAATGGTTGGTTATTTTTCAGAGTTGTCAGTTGTTTATGTCTGTGGCGATTGAGAACGCTGGCATCGATTACCATGTTGTTTTAGCACAAAACGCACTACAGTTGTGCCTTGACAACTGGGAACTGCAAGCGGAATTACTGAGCGCTTTAATCAAACAAACATCTCGACATGCCTCCCACAAACATGGCGTCCAGGTATTCTCCAAACTGCGGCATCGTGTAAGTTCCCCTTCCCATTGCTTCTTTTTGGCATTAAAAAATAATTCTCAAATTGGTTAATTTTTAATTTTTACTGTAATACTGGAATAATATGTTCTCTGAGAGAATCTATAGTAATAAATTTTCAGCTTTATGGTCTTACATTTTTAAATATCAAAATGTATACAAATTAAATTTTTATTAATACACTAATGTGAGTTATTTTGAAATGCCATGCTTTATTATTAATTAGTCATCTTTATTTGTAATTATTATTTGAAACATAACTAAAATACGATGGTCACTTCAAAACACTTGTCATTAATAGTACAATATTTGTATAAATACTCAAGTTATAAAATATATCACATTTGGATATAAATTTAGAAGCCTCGGGGCGAGCTCAAAATTGTTAATGTTTGTGTTTGTTTTACTACATTATCTTTACGCTACTTTTTTTGAAGTTGACCAATGTAGTTTGTATGATGTTTAAGAAAAGACATTGGATATGCGGTATTTGCCTAAAGTTTACTATTTCCTAATTATTTAAGTAAACCACATAGTTTGACAACCAATTAGAAATTTGATTTCTAAAAATACCTACTATCATGTCAAACCTATTTGGATTAAACTTCTTTTTTTTTTGTATCAAGCAATTTTTATTTTATGCAAAATTTGATAATATTATTTGCAATGTCCCTCTCTGGATAGTCTTTTAATAATTTTGCATGTTCTTGCATGATAACATTCAAATTTGAATTTAATTTAATCAAACGAGAGCTGCAGTTACAAAAATAAATTTAAATTATCAAATGAAAAATGGATTAAGAAATTTAGGCATTTAGGCACCGCGTTTCCCCTGTTTTTTTCTAGCAACTCTTATTATGCGCCACACAGTCGCTGTTCACTTGCGATGCTGCATTGGCGTCTTCACCCACAATCAGCACGACACAGTCTGTAGTCCCGGGATCGCCAAGTCACAGTATAACTGCTCCACCAAGTCCGGCTACCTCATCATTACTCGACCACTGCAAAGCGAATCCTCCTATGTATGTGTTTGTCCAAGGGTGGCAATTATTAGCACTCGCTGTTTCGTTATTCGTACCCAAAAATACCAAATTGCTGTGGTTCCTCAAATTACATTTAAAGCGAAACATAGATACTAAGTAAGTTGATACGATGACCAATAATTTGTTTTATATCATTCTAATACATATATATATTCACAGGACTGAATGCGGAAAGTATTCTGCATATTGTGAACGTGCACTGGAACGTACAATAACGAATGGTCCACGTGAAGTAAAACCGTCGAGGATGGAAGTATTGTCAATTTTATTGAAAAATCCTTATCATCATTCATTACCGCATTCCATTCCTGTTCACCTGCTCAATGGAACATATCAAGTAATTAAAAAAAAAAAAATTAGTTATTTGATGTGACTGTACACTGACTGTAATCCAATCTAAACCTCAGGTCGTCGGCTTTGATGGTTCAACAACAATTGAAGAGTTTCTGTGCACACTTAATCAAGAGACTGGTTGTCGTGATAGTACCCAGTCGGGTTTTACTTTGTTCAGTGATGACCCAATTGAAAAAGACTTAGAGCACTATATTGAACCGCAAGCCAAGGTCAGATCAAACTAAAATTTTGATAAGTCAATGCAACGTAATTAATAAACTTGTGTCGTTTTGTAGCTTTGTGACGTGATATCAAAATGGGAAACGGCACTGCGTGAAAAAGGCTCGGGCAAGTTTGAAAACACTCGAGTCATTCGACTGATTTTTAAAAATAGATTGTACTTCAAGTCGTTTGTCAAAAAAGAAACCGATCGCGAAAGATTGTTGCTTTGCTATCAAGTAAACCAGCAAGTAGTTCAAGGTCGTTTTCCTCTCACAAAAGAGCTTGCTTTGGAGTTGGCTGCACTTATGGCTCAGGTAAAACTTCTAAACAATTAAATTTTTATTCTTTTTTGATATTTATAAATTTATTAATTGGACACAGATTGATTTTGGTGAATTCTATTGTGATAAAAATCGTGGAAGTGGCGGCACCACTAAAGACTTACAGGTTCTTCAAGCACTTGATAAATTCTATCCCTATCGATACCGTGATGGAGCGTCCCAAGAAGCAATCAAGTTAGTATTATCAGAATCAACCATCAATACTTGCGTGTATAACTAAATTAGGACTTAGAACGCAAAATATTTAATTTAGGTATGGGTTTCTGGTATTCTTATTCTCGTGTTTGGGTACTAATTTCGGATCTTCAATTGCTTAAGTATAACAAATTCCGACTATCCATTATATAATTTAGGTCTTAAAAAATCATGACACATGTTTTTTTAAACTAATTTATATTTTATTCACGTATTTTGTGATTTAGAGTTTTGGTTTTTTACTGTATAGGGTGCCCGGCTAATTCGGGTTCTAAGTCCTGATTTAAATGTAAACACGAAAATAATAATTATTATAACATGTATGTATTGTTTATATTTTTAGACACCTTCAAGTAGGATTGCAAGAAAAATGGATATCCCTTAAAGGGCGTAATGTAATCGATTGTGTGAGAATATACCTGACCTGTACGAGAAAATGGCCATATTTCGGATGTTTGCTGTTTCAAGCTAAAGTGAGTGTTACCATTAACTTACAGTTTCAAATTATCTGTTGTCATTTAATCATTATACACTAAATACCGTATTGGGTTTTATTTGTTAGATGAAACATGGAGAAAACACTGTATTACCAGGCACAGTGTTATGGCTAGCTGTATCGGAAGACAGTGTTAGTCTGTTGGAACTGAGGTCGATGCAACTGATTGAAACCTATTTGTATGGGCAGGTGTTAACTTTCGGAGGTTGTCAGGATGACTTTATGTTAGTGATTGCTTCAGAATCAGCTATTATAGAATCGCATAAACTTCTGTTTTCTATGAGCAAACCAAAGGTAAGTAATTATTTGAAAAAATAAATGACTTAATCATTCAATCACTTATCTATTTCACAGATTCTTGAAATTACCTTATTGATTGCCGACTACATGAACGCTCTTGCTCAAAACGGCGTTTCCCTAGCCAACTCCATAAATCGAAACATGCAGCCTGATATTCTGAAAGCAACGCCAGACCATCAGTTACACAGGGCCGAATCGCAGTGTAAAAAACGTATCGAGTCATGAAAATAAATAAGTACTTGTTTTAAATTTAATTTGTTTACAAAAATGTGATTGTTATCTTATAATGAATTGCTGATGTATTCATGATGTGTCTTATTTTGTATTGGATGCTATTCTATTATTATTTTTAACTGTGTTAAACATATTTCAGTTAGGACATAACAATTTGCAGTCCTTTCTGTTGACTTATACATTACAATTTTAGCAAATACTTGTTGAATGAACGCACGAACATAAAGACTATGTAGTTATTTTATTGTATTAATTAAATTGTATTTAGCCTGAAGATGTTACCATAAGGTTGTATGGAATGTAATTGATTGTTTTATAATATACTATTAATAATAGCATTGTAAATGAAGCGCCGTGGCCATTTATAACAGACTGCCAAAATTAGTGGGACAATAGTTAACGTCCAATTTAGTCTGTATTTAATACAATTTTTTAAACCATTTTTCTTTTGTGTACCTTTTAAGTTATATTTGTATTATTGTTGTTACAATATTTGAATTTATACAAACGGAGTCTGATTAAAATTGTGTTCAATTTTTAATTTGGAGGCCTCCTTAACATGATTATTTTTTTCTTACTATTTTCTTTTATAAGTGAACCACTTTTGTTTTTATTATTATTATTATTTTTTTTTATAACTGACGTTCAAATGTACAATTATACCAAAGAAAATTGTACTTGATTTTTTTTTTTTTAGTTTTTAATACATTTTTTGTGCTTAACAGACTTAACATCACATTTTTACTTGATTAAACTAAAAGGTTGTGCTACTCCAAACAAGTTTTGTTTTTATTCTATTATTTTTTATTTTTTTTTACCGGCTTCACGATCCATTGAGGATCTTTACCGCCAAAACTACCTCCTCCCATTTCTCTCTATCTTGCGCTATAACTTGCCAATCCGTCCCAACTTCTTGGGCTACCGCATTCCATATCTCATTTATGCTGTCTATCCATCTTCTTCATGGTCTTCCCCTTGGTCTTCTCTCTGCTAACGTCCAAGTCATTATTTCTTTTATCAGGCATCCGTCTGCTCGCCACGCATGTCCGGCCCATTGCATTCTTATACTTTTAACAAATTGTACAATATTTTCTCTTTTGTATAGGTTCCCCAGTTGTGCATTCGATCTTAATTCCCATTGTTGGGTTTCAGTACTAAATATTGGACCATGTATTCTTCTTAAGATTTTCCTTTCAAATCTACTTAGTTTTTCTTCATAACCATTTAGTTGTGGCCCACGTGGCACATGCATACGTCAGTACTGGTCTTATGTAGCTTACATAAAGTTTTTCTTTGACATTTTTGATTTAAATAGGGTCTCCATTGCGAAATAACATCGATTTGCTGTATTCAGCCTCACATTTATTTCTTCGTGCATAATATTTTTGTTGTTTAGAGTTACTCCAAGGTACTTAAATTCTTTAACTTGTTCGAATTCATTATATTTATTATTCTATTATATATACTTAAACACAAGCTATTCAATAATCAAGCCTATCAAATAAATAATATGTATCCGCGCTTACTTTACCGGAAAATGAGAACGGTACACAAGTGAGAGGGGTTCTAAACCAAATTTTTATATTATAAATAAAACAATTCATATACAAACCCATCGTTAATGATGACAACTTTTATTATAAAACAATTAAAAAGTTTTGTAGATAACTTTTATAATAAAGAACTTTTAAATAAAAGTCCCGGACAAAAAAGTTATTGGAAGAACTTATTATAAATGTTATGACGTAAAAGTTCTCGAAAGAACTTTATAATAAAAGATCCAACAAAAAAGTTCTTGCATTAAGAGTTTCAAAAAAGTTCCTTAAAAAATGTATAAGTTAGAGAACAGGAACTTTTTCAAAATAAAAGTGCACAGTTATTTCGGAACCCTGGCAAAAATATTTATTTACATTTTATATTAAGTAATCCGACTTATACATATAATTTAAAATTAAAATAATTTAATGCAAAAAAAGGAATCGTTTTTAATTAGCTACTATACAGTTTAGATATCGTGTGTGAATAAGGTATTATAAGATCTCTAAAATTAAAATTAAAATGTTGTTTGTTTTATTTGATAGCATTTGATTTTTAAAATCTACTTTTTATAAATAAATGACGGTCCATTTTTCATACAATGCGGGTAAGGAACCTTTTCGCATACATCCCCCGACTCTGACATTGGTCACTGCTAATGTTCGCTGACAAAAAGTCGACCTCTGATTAGTCCATTTATCATTATTATTATTTTTTTTTCATATACGCACAACGTAATCACGAATCTGTCGTTGTTCTTTTTATGCTTTTATTTTTTTTACCCCGACTTACTCTACCCCCACCCCCACCCCCTTTGTCCGGCTTGAACCCGGGTCAGTGCCGTGGGGTGATTTATGACATCCGATTTCATTTCACCCCTCCCCGTACTTATCCCCTCCCCTGATCGTCGACGGTCATTCGATATTCTTTTTTACTGTTACAGTTAAAATGGGGTTTTCGACTGTAGCTATACTGCTGTGGTGCTCATGTTGATGCTCCAGCAACACAAGTCACGTCCATTAATCACGAAATCCAAGTTCTCGGTATAAGCGCCATTTGTGGATTAAAAACGATTTTAAACAAATATATAAGTAAGCATATGTATGTATTTCATATTTGTGCTCTGATTGTTTGTTAACACTCGGAGTGAAAATTATACATTTATTGTACCAAACATTTTTTATTTTTTTCACGTGTAGACATATTAGCTTGGTTCAAATGTGACTGGCATAGGCATCGGATAACAGCGAAACCATAGTAACGTCAAAGAACAAATCTCCCTCAATGGTACCCAAAGTTCGTGGCGGATTGTTAAGCGTACCTAATAATTACAGAAAGGCCATCACAAAACCGGTGAGATGGAGTTTTAAATATTTACCGTGTAATTTTTTTATATAATTTCACGCAAACAACAGTTAGGTCCACAACGAACTAATAAAAAATGCCAATGTATACGTTTACAAACGTTTCATATGATAACTTTTGAAATTATGCGTAATAACATATTTATTATCTAAAACCAATCAGCAAAATCAATCGAATCAATATCCAAAAAGATGCTCAATTATTTTGCTCACAAAACACAAAAAAATTAACTTGCCGCCATTAGCAGCAATCAAGACGGTATGATAGTCTACGTATATTTGTGTGAAGAGGTTTAAAGACTTTATAAGAGCCAAGGGAATTTAATAAGAGTTAAAGGGGATAACCTCATCTGTTTCCACATCATAGGACGTCCGAGGGTATTGGAAATATGCGTTAGTATTCTTCAACTAACAAATTTTGCGATTTCAGCAAGACAACTTGAAAACCGTCTCACCATGCAGATTTAATGAATTGATTTTGACATGAACTTTCAATGGTGAAGTTTTTATGATAAAATGTGTATAAGTAGGGTTATGTAAAGTCACTCGAGATTGTGTTCATTATTTTCGACTGTCCCGACCTGATAACAATGGAACCGAATCTTTGACTTTTGAGAATCGAGAGAAAAGGGATTTAGTTTTTCTTAGAAACTGCTGTGATCGCAGAATCAAGGACTTATATTATACTTACGCAGAAATTTGAAAAACATCTTGAAAAATGTGTCCACCCTAACGACTGATATTGCTTATACATTGTATGAACACAATCATCGTTAATGAACACGTAATTTTTGTTCTGTGCTTAACAAGTAAAAATCGTATTGCACATTGGAACATAACTTAGCTAAACTGTTATGCCAAACAATTAGATTCCAATGTGTACCGACACACCATCACTAGGTCGCTCATGTTAATTTATTGTGTGTCTAATATGACTGTCCTGTATGCAATGTTTGTGTGTACAGCTGAATGGTTTTGGTGGATATAGTAATTAGTAAGGATTTAGGTATCATTCGGACAACTGGTTTTTAATATTATAATTTTTCGGCAGATTTTAGTTTTAAAACAAGGAAGAATACATTTTACTACACTATGAAATAATGAAATATATTACCTCAAGTGTTGCCAAGTTTTTTCTAGATTAAGAAGCGTTTACTACACTATACTAAAAGACAATATAAAAAAATGTAATAGATAATATTATTATTTTTAATACATATTAATTATATCGCATAGTTATTAATTAATTGTTTTCTTATTAAAGGAGGTAAATTGGTAATAGCACATCATTTCGTTTCGTGATTTCGAAAATTATAGTAATGGTATAATTTAATAATAATATTTATAAGCGTCCCATAGATGTTAGACTGGCTATGGTAATAATCATCATTACCTTCCCACTGGCCAAATCCGCTGATGAATATAATTACATTACAATAATTAATATTTGTACATAACACGATTGCAGTAGCCAAACATATTTAAAAGTCATTATGAGCTTAATTTCTATTTATGGCTACTATACTACTTTATTATCTATAAATACTTTTTCATAGTTTATAGTGATAATGTACAATAATAGTTATTGATGGTGTTAATCCGAATGTGTCCTAATGATACTATTATACTTGCCTTCTCCTCATCTTCTATTTAAGTATTACTATGGTTGTACATGCGATTATCTATGTACAAGTGAGGTCGCTACTCTAGTCATCACTCTCCCGACTTCTCTCATATCAATCATTACCTTTATTCACTTTGCACATTCCCCTTCACTTATGTCTTATTATATTAATCTATTTGTCCCAATTATATGCACTTAGCTAGCTAACATTCCATGTTACTAGGCTTAACCTTTTCTTTTTCAAAAACAAATCAATATTATATTATTATGTTTGAATAATTGTATACGAATGCAATCTAAAGATATCATTATGTTTCATTTATCAAATATACCCAACGAGATAATCTAACCTTCCTAAGTCTTGCGGGTTTTAAACTAAACTAGGTTTATATTTTTCGAAAATGTAATCGATTATTCTAAAACCTATTGAAAGAAAATTTGGTCAAAATGCAACAAAGTACCTCACGTTTGTCTGCTGATGCTCACGTTTAGACAAAAACGTATTGTTGTGGTTAATCAGCAATTACTTGTTTGCCGTTGTTGGGCACTTGTTTTCCAGACTTAAGTACCTACATAGCGCTAACGACTACGTTGGCAAAAACTTAACCGTTTTTGTAATCATTCTTGCGTCCGTCATATAACAACACTTTTTCGATTTTTTTGTTTAACCGTGCAAAACAATATAATAGCCCGAGTTTCATTAAGACAATTATTATGGTTTTTTACAGTCGTGTTCGTCAATGACACAATAACACACACACGTAGGCCCAGGTAAACACTGACTGAATAGCAAGTAAATTGACTCGGGTGTGTCGAATAATAGAAGTGGGTACTTACAATATCATACCAACATATTTTGCACAATTCGTTGGTGTAAAAGTATTCTTTATTTTGTCAAGTTTTCGCATCATTATATTATATTATACAGGGTCATTCAAATTTTATTTTACATAGCAGACTTTTTTTTATGAAGTATTCAAAATAGGCAAAATTGACCATATGTATATAAATATGTTTTTATAATTGAGGCGTGTAGCTTTAAAACCAGCTAAAAGAAATGTTTGAAAATGTTCACAAGCAACAAATCATTTTTTTAGTTTTATTTAGATTTTAAAGCCAACCAAGATTTTCTTATCACAGTTTGAGTTAGTTATAATCTTTATTTGATATTAAATAATATTTGTACGTACCGTGTTTTTATAGTG